CATGGGTTGCCGAAAGCTCAGCCTTATTGAGTGTGGCCCTCTCACAGACCTCAGTAAGCTCAGCCTCGAGCCTGGTCAACTTCTCATGGGTCACCAAAAGCTCAGTCTCAAGACCAGCCGCCCTCTCGCGGGTTGCCACAAGGTCAGCATCTGAAGACTTGCCAGCAGCTTCAAGCTCTGTGATCCTCCCCTAAGCAGCTAGAAGCTCTGTTTGCACAACGTCAAGATCCTGCTTCAGCTTGGCATGAGAATAGGCCCTTGAAAGCAAACACATAGATGTCGTTGAAACCTGAAGAAAGATAAAAGTCAAAGGAATGACAGAAGCTTAAGAAGGGACTGGAGAAAAAGAGAGAGCAGACCCATACCTGAGTCCATCCTTCTAAAAAAGAGTTGACGATTCCCTCAGTGGCTAAAGCTCTAATCTCGCAAATACCGTTGGAAAACACAAACCTCCCAATTCGATCCTTTATGACTGACGAATTACCGAACATGGACGGGGGGCAAAAGATGTGGCCAGCAAGTGGGACTCTAGAGAAGGAGATATAACTAAGGGAGTCTCTGGTTGAGGAGGCACCTCCGGGGGGATCACTTGACGGGAAGGCACCTGAGGAAACAATGGAGGGTTGACTGAGGAGAGTTCACCTTGGGTGGCACCATTGGAGAGGTCACTAGGGAGACGTTGCCCACCGCTCCCTTGGAAGTCCTCGCCACTTTGAAAGCAGGAGGACTCCTACTTGAGAGGCGGGATCTAATCACCTTCCTATCTACTGCTGAAAAGGAAACGAATTTAGATAAAAACACCAAGAGGATGAGAAAAGTATAAAAGAATCAACATACCTTTCCTTTTCAAGAAAGGAGGACTGCTAGACCTTGGAGAGGGTTCACCACCACTGGCACCTACGGAAAAGGAACCAATAACTCCTCCACCCCCAGGCATGAGAGCTTCAAAGTCCCTTGTAGAGTAAGCTTTCACAGCTTGAAGCTTCCACTCTTGGTCTTTGGAGAGCACAGGAGCACCTGTAAGGAATATAGTGAATACACAGTTTACAAAGAATGTGGTAAGAGAGGAGTAAGAATGTAAGGCGTACCAACTTTCTTTGGAGCATCCCATCGTATTGGTACCAACGCTTTATTAGCATCCGAAGCCCATTCTCCACCGACGAACATGAAACCAGACTTTCAACTATGACATTTGGAGGGCAATCCGATAATCAACTTGTCTCCTCTCGTGGTAAAATAATATCAGCCTCGGTTAGGAACAAGAGTCTCACTCGGGTAATAAGCTGTATGGAATTCCTCAGGAGATGTATCCTCATAGTGCACCCTTTTCCACAATGCTAAGAAACTTAATAACACTCTCCAACTGTTGGGCGCCAACCGCCCAGGTGTCAGGAAAAAATAGTTCAGGATGCCACAAACGAGAGAAGGCATTGGGAACCTGAGTCTAGCCTCATGCACCTCTTCATAAATAGTAATGTCACCAGAGGAGTCATCGCAAACAGGCTCACCCATCTTGGCTCGACGACATAGTACAGTCGGAGGAATATGATAGGTGAAGACAATTCGTAAAATATCAACGTCTGAATTTAAAGTGCTAGAGATAGTACTTACTTTGGACCCATCATCATCGAGAGCTACATTGCCTCGATGTTTTTTGACGCGAGAGCGTAAAGCTCTGTCTGAGCCAGAAAGGTCTCTAGGAGTATGATTTTGAGAAGCTACGCTTGAAAGAACTGGACCATGAGCACAAATTGGATCACTTGGATGATCTCCCACAATATACCCGACAGCTTGCACGCCATGGTCTGCTCGCCCGAAGGAGATTGACACAGCAGGCTGCCCAGCGCAGCAGGCTACTCGTCCAAAGCTGTCCACCCCTCCTGCTCGTCCAAGACTTGCTCACCCAAGGGCTGAACACCCATGTTGCCCACTTTAGCGCCTAAGCTGGAGCCCATATTGCTACCCAAAACAGCCCAAGACGCCTCATCAAGTTCGCCCAAAACAACGCCTAAAGTGGCGCCCATAACAACCTACAATACCCCATCAGGCTCGCCTAAAGCATTCACGCACCCAGGCTGCTCGCCCAGCGGGCTGGCACGCCCAAGTTGCTCGCCTAGCATTCTGTTTGCCCCTCCAAACTTGCTCGCCCATTGAGGGATGCTCGCCCAGCCTGACCAAAGCTATGCCCGCCTCCCTACTCGCCAAAACCAACACCAAAAAGGGGCGCCTAGCATCCCCCTCTCTCGCGCATCATGTGCGCGCCTCGTAGCGCCCAACGACGCCTGCATCTTTTTCAGGCCACGCGCCTCCATCCCATCTCCATGGACAACTCCACCTTCTTCGAGTTGCACACTCAGACTTGCAGGCCCCTGAACATCTTCTCCACTATCCACCATTGTTCAAAATACTCAAAATCAAGAATGTCAAGCCTAGGGTCTCAAAAGAATCTCCAGAAGAGCACTCTCCTTCACTCACTCAAGCTTCTATGGAATGGGTGAAGTATGGGCTCTCAAGGGTTTAAGGAAAGAGTAAAATCTCAAATTGAAGGAAATTGGTGAAATGAGAAAGAAAGCTACTATTTATAATCTAGGGCTTTAAAATCTACTTGGAGAAGCAAAAAACCCAAAAGCCCCAAATTGCACCCTAGAGCATTTTAAGAATCCAAAAAAGGAAGGGAATGAAGGAGTTTATATAGTCAACGGGGTCCTACAAGCAAAAGGAGTTTACTGGAAGGGATGGGATCGCCGATCAAGAGAAGTTTTCGAAAAATTCGGATTTAAAAAGGTCTATACGTTATTTTGACCTTAACTTTTGATCCGTAACTCCAAACGGAGCCTATAATATGTCTAATCGAAGCTCTCAAAGAGGTCTACAAGAATCACAGTTGTTGGCTATGAATGATGCTGAAAAAAGCCCAAGAAATGCCTGGAAGTATATGTTTTGGCCTTCCGAAGTTTTTCTAATTTTGTCGTTCGGCTGAAAATTGAAACTCAACTGAATGTCCTCCTTTCTAAGTTCCTTAAACGCAGAGCATTGGGGAGAAAATGATGGGTCAAGCTCGAGGGCCCAACTCATATTATGAGCCCAGTCTAAACTAATGACCCGATTCCAAGAGATATGTCAAGTCCAGCCCAAATGAGGTACAAGTCAGACAAGCCCATTAGGCGGCTTCGCCACCAAGGAAGCATCCAGGAGCCTCTCCCTCGCAGCTNGCCCAAATGAGGTACAAGTCAGACAAGCCCATTAGGCGGCTACGCCACCAAGGGAGCATCCAGGAGCCTCTCCCTCGCGGCCTGGAGAGAGTCAACCTTCCCACATCCTTTGACCAAATCCTTTGGAGAGCATCATAATTTCCTTGTTCGTTGAGGAGAGGAGAGGTCGTCAAACTATTTAATTACTATTAAAGTCACTCTAATTCTTTATGACCGTCATACTAGCTATTCAATTACTATGTAAACAACTATAAATTGTAAGTCCCACCAACGCTTGGGGGGCATTATACTCATTTGGAGCATAACTCTCTTCTCTCTTCTCAAAGTTTGTAATCATTTGTTCACCCTCTACACCGGAGGNTATGTAATTACTATTAAAGTCACTCTAATTCTTTATGACCGTCATACTAGCTATTCAATTACTATGCAAACAACTATAAATTGTAAGCCCCACCAACGCTTGGGGGGCATTATACTCATTTGGAGCATAACTCTCTTCTCCCTTCTCAAAGTTTGTAATCATTTATTCACCCTCTACACCGGAGGTAATAAAATACCCGGCTACCCTGCCATAAACCTTGCCTTCTCTTTCTCTCAACTTACTTACTGCATTCTATACTGCATATTTGACATGTGGTGTGTAAACTAATTTGTGTATCATCACTTATTAGTTTCACTACTTGTTTCTTTAATTATCATAACTATCACATGACATCTTGAACTATATTTTATTGATCACACATTACCACAATTTTATACATCAGAAAACATTTACAAGCGTGGACATTTACTGTCTAAGACTTGACAAACTTTTACGACAACACAGACTAATTCAACTCAAGTATTTTGGGGGTAATATGGAAAATTCAATAGTTGAAGACGTAAAACGACACTATGACCATAGTTAAGGGGCTCCAAAAATATAATTTATCATGAAAGCAAACAAAACATGAAACAAACAAGGGAAACAGGCCATGTTTGGTTTGTGATCTGGAAACAGTTTTTTGTTTTTAAAATTTTAAAAATACCAAAAACTTGTTTGTTTAGCTTTTTTGTTCTTCAAATTTTGAAAAAAAATGAAATTTGGAGCAAAGAAACAAAAATTAGGTGTAGCTTATTTTTGAAGTTTTCTTTGAAAATTTTGGAAATAATGAGAATAATTTTGGGTTTTAATGAGGTCTGCCCATCGAGTCTCCTTGGAAGTAAAACTCTTCATTCCTTTTTTTTTTCTTTTTCTTCTTCCTCTCCCTCTCCCTCTACAACGTCTTCTTCTCCAACATTTCCACCTCTTCTCTCTCTGTGTTCTTCTTCAAATTTGGAGCACCGAAGCACGTCTCCTTTCTCTCTGTTCTTCTCCAGATCTAGAGCACCGAAGCACGTCTCCTCTCTCTGTTCTTTAGATCTGTGTTCTTCCTCAGACATGGGTANTTCTCCAGATCTAGAGCACCGAAGCACGTCTCCTCTCTCTGTTCTTTAGATCTGTGTTCTTCCTCTGACATGGGTATATATATATATGGGTATTGTGTATATATTGTGTGTGGTGGGTATTTTTTTATTAATTTTTAAATTAATATTTAAACATATATTTAAATTGTCCAAACATGTTTTACTATTTTCTGTACTGTAAAATTATTTTTGAAATCATCTAACTAAATAAAGTTTTTATCTCAAAAAATATTAAAATCACTTTCTTAAAATTATTCCTAAAAACTATTTTCGAATAAAATTTTTGAAAAGTAAACCAATCAGACCCAGATTTTACCTTTCTCAAACTGTAAGGGCGGTTTTCCAACCGAGATCATATCAGAGCTCTCGGCTTTCCTTTTCGAACATATCGAATCCATCAAATACTTATATTCCTATCTCTTCCCAACCGCCCAACTTTCTCAGATTCTCTCTCTTCCCTTTACGCCTCTTGCTTATTACGCAATCGTTTCCTTCCTCTTCTCGGACACAATTGGTGAAGTTATCATCTAGTTTCGATGGATGCTACGGCACCGAAATGCCAGGGGAATTTGCAGATACCTGTTGATCTGTTCGTTTCCAAGAAATATGATGGTGGTAATTTTGGATTCGCCGATTCCTCCGGTAATCTAGTCTTCAGAGTCGACCGTCAATCTGACAAGTCAACTGATGTTCCTCATCGCAATCATGTACTCCTGGATGCATCCGGGAATTCCCTCATGTCCATACGCCGGAACCATGTAACTCTCTCTCTATCTCCCCATTGAATTTGCCATTTACTCTCACCGATCGAGAACGATATAATCTTGTTTGACATATGTTCTTCAGAAAAAAAAAAACGAACTGAATTGGTCGAATAGAGTTTTCTTCAATTTAACTCTGATATATATTACTTGTAAATTCGATTACAATATAAGTAAACCAAATTGGGGACATGAATCGGATTTGGCTTTCTATAGGTTTTTTCCAATTATGAAGAATCGTCTCAACCGCACTGTATAATAGTCTTTAAGTATTGTCTAGTTCGAATACTCACGTCCAGTTAATATTTGTTATGCATCATTTTCCTTTTGGTGGTTTTTATTGTAATTTAATGTGCATAAGCTTCCACCTCAATTGGGTGAGTTGTGAATTAAGACCCTGATGTTGCTTATTTGTGCAAATATCTAATGTTATGTATATACCTAGTCCACTTCTTAAAGCACTGAGCACCTATATTGCTGAGACTAACATAGGATAATAGGAATTACATGAAAGAATCATCACCTATGATAGATATGTACATAAAATGGTGGTGGATTGAGGGTTTTTTTTGTTTTTTAACCGGGGGGGTGTGGTTGGATTGAGTTTCGAATGCATAGAAAACTGAAATTATCATTGCGTGTGTGTTTAATGTGATATGTTTAGTTCCTGTAGAATGGATCTTGGCAAGGCTTTAAGGGAGATAACAGCAAAGAGGACTTGATATTCCGAGTGGAGCGGACTATAAACACGCTTAGTAAGACTGAGTTTGATGTATTCCTTGCTGCTGAAAAGTGTGAAGACTCCAATTCTGATTTCAAGATGAAAGGTTCCCCCTTCCAGAGATCATGCACAATTTATAAGGGCAATTCCATTGTCGCCCAGGTATTATTTAGAGTAAGCAGCAATAGTGAGGTATTCTTAATAGACGGATGGTTCAACATCGAGCAGAGAATTAATGCTTGACTATTTGCGCCAATTCATGTGCTTCCTCATTTTTCCTGTATGTCTAACTAACAACTGAATTCTTTAGCACTTCTAAAATATCTGACAAAATAAGCTCTAAGGGAGAAATAAAAGTGCGCTGGTCACAAAAGTGGTTAATAGCCTGCACAGCATCCCCTTCCATTACAAAACCCAATAAATTCCCCTAAATGTCTTTTTAGTACATTTATATCATCCTCAGGATAAGATATGCTCTTCTATTGAAGTTTGATTCATTCTCTACCAAGTTGCATTGTGTAAGGATGTGGATCTACCCAATCATGTGTCTCTTAACTGTAAAAATATATTGTTATTGGTAACCATCTTTCCTTTAACTTAGGATCAGACCTCTTGGTAATGAATTTACAGTTGATCATTGCTCCCATATTATTAGATCTGGTCCAAAACACTAATATTACCACCCCCCATTTGATTGGGTGAAAGCAACATCTTTACTGATAAGTGACTTTTAATGGACTTGTTATGATAACGTGGTGAAGTGCTGTTTTTGGAGCAATTTGATTAACATGCTAGCTTCTATTCATTCTTTGCTTTTTTTTTCTTTCCTTTTTCTTTTTCGTTACAGAATTGGGATAGTAACTTGGTCGCAGTTGTGACCTACTGTATACTGTAGTGTTGTCATGTATTGTTCTGTTTCCTAATGTGTATGGCTGTTTGATCCGCTTTGATATAGTTTTGACACAATCTTATGTTTAATCTCTTCTGTTTGATGGATTGCAGACAAGCCGCATGTACAAGCTTGGGTTTCAGAATATTTGGGTTTCAAGGCTTAGATTTCGATTGACCATATTTCCGGGGTTTGTTGATCATGCTTTAATTGTGGCCTTGATTGTAATATTTTTTGATGGACGAAAATTTTGGATGTGATGTAGCATGGATTCGCCTTGTTCCACTAACACACATGAAAGGAAATTTAGATGTTTTTGTCTTCTTTTGTTTACATATGAAAATTGGCATGCATTTTTTGGGAACTTGGCATATCACTTCACATTAACTTGAATCTTATGGTTATTCATTCTTCGGATGTCTTAAGATTATCAATTCTTCATGACTTCTTCCTCTATTTTTCTCCACCTTTATCTGTTGATTCTCTTGCATGCATTCACCAAATTTCTTGCATCAAATCGACATGGATTATTTGATTGGTGGGTTCCATAGACTCCGACTATACATCCCACGATTATACCACATCATCTGGTGCAAGAAATCTAGTGCATACAGCTTTCCTTTTTCGAATGTTCCTTGCACCGAAACCTAATCTTCCTATGATTCTCGACTTTCATTGGAAGAGTGGCTTCATGTCACTACTGAAAAAACTGGAAACAGGTTTGGATGATGATGATCATGCCTGCTTAAATCATTGTACCCCAGCTGCTAACTTCTATTAATTCAGCTGGAAACTTGTTTTGGATTTTGTCTCAAATATTGCTTGCAAAACCCATGAAGGAACATTAGTGCTATATGTTAACCAACTTTTTTACCTACTTTCCCACACCAACTACATGTGAACCATTGGATTAATGTATTTCGATTGGTCTCATTTATTGTCCAATGCTTGTGGTTGGTGAATAGGTTTGGTGTAGAAAAGTCGGTTATAATACTTGGAATTATTGAAGGAATTTTTCGATTTGGAGTAGCAAGGGTGTCCAGAGCACTTAGAAAATTCTAATGACTTACTGGACATGAAATTTTAGAAAATAGATTTATAGTCAGTTTTATTTAAATTTTGTGTCCAACTTTTATTGTCATTTCTTAAGAATGTGGCACGTTTCAAATAATTTGGAGACCCAGTGTCCTGATAAGAGAAATTTGAAGATGAATTCAGCATTTTAATGGTCTTTATTATTTTTTTTATTTTGTAAATCTCGTTAATTGTTAGTGGATGTTGTTAAAATAAAAAATATATATATTTTTACGAAAATGACATAACTAACCTTAATAGAATATAATGGCGGTGTAATATTGATTCTCACTTTTAGAAACCTATCGTTCTCCGTACGAAAATCATTGCCTCACCAATTTAATGGTGATACTATGTCAGTAATGCTAATATCATCAGCAAATAATAAAATATGAATGAAGCAAGATGAACTCTACTTTAGTAGTTATTGGTTTATATGAAAAACAAAAAAAGTGAGTAGTTATTTACTTAGAGCAACTCTAACTCACTCTTTATTTCTTATTTTTTTTACTTATTTTAGTTAGTCAAATATTAAAAAAACTCTCCAACCAACTCTATTTCTCGTTTCATCCAAATGACTCTCCAAATGTGAAGAGTCATCAGTCTCTCCAAATTATCTATTTACCTTTTTCTCTTTATATATATATATATACTAGTCATAATCCGTACCTAAAGACACGATAAAATATAAAATTCGAACATCCAAAAATCGATCTCATTGTATTAAATAATAATTTTTCTTTCTTTCATTTATTTGATTACATCATTTGAAATTTATTTTTATCCATTATTTTTTAAAAAATAACAACAAAAATACATAATTCGACAGTTTTTCTTAACATGTGTATACTATCGTGTATGGATAATATTTAAAATAAAATTTTAATTACATATTAAATGATTAAATATGTGATAGAAATGAGTGATTTGATGATTTTGGGAAAAAAAATATGTATGAGATAAAATTTCAAACTCCTAATTGTTTTATTATATAGATATACTAGTTATTGTTTGTGCCTGAAGGCACAGAGTAATAAAAAATGATAAATAATAAACATATTTATATTTATATCCAAAATTAAATCACAAATATAGAAAATAGATAAAATAATATAAGTATCGATTTGTAGTGGAGGTGAGAGATGGTGGACGACAGTGGTGGTGGTAGAAGATAGTGATGGTTGTAGTTGGTGGCAATGACCATGGTGGTGGCGGTGGTGGCAGTGAGGGCGACTACGATGGTGGTGGTGGTGGTGGTGGTAGTAGCGACGGTGGTAAGGACGATGGTGGTGGTAGCGATCGCGACGGTGGCAACGACGGTGGTGGTAGGGGCAATGGTGGCAACAACGACGATGGTGGTGGTAGCGACGGCGACAGTGGTGGTAAATAATTCCTAGAAGTACTTTTAAAAAATCATTCCAAATACATCCTTAGGGGCCTATTTTTATTATTAAATTTAGGATATTAATATTAACCGTTAAATTAACTTTAAAATAAAATTTAAAATAATCTCAACCGCGAATAACAAAAGTCATTTTGTTTATCTTTTGAGATTTGAATTGTAAGTTACTTTATTATATAGATTATAAGAGCTACTCCGATAAAGCTTCTTCTTAGCTAGTCCAATCCTCAAATTTGCCTCCAACCACCTAAGCTATTCCTTTTGTAAGCTAACAACAGCTAGTTATTTTTTTTGTGCCATTTTTCTCATTCCACAGCCTCTCATCATATTCATTCAGAATCACAGAGGAAGGTTGGTTGTGGCGTCTTCTTCCAACACACATGCATGGACTTCTATTTCTTGGCTCCCATCTCTCTCTCTCAGTGCTCCCACTGAAACTCCACCAAAACCCCTCTAAAATTAGATCGAAACTCCCACTGAAACCGTATTGCAACTGTACAAAAAAAATACCAAAAACTCACTGAAACCCCACTATAACTACACCAAAAATCAGACCAAAAACCCCACTACAATTGTACCAAAAATAAGACCAAAAACCACAAATTGTCTATCTTTCTCGAAGTAATTTGAAATTTCGATTTTAAAATTTAAAATTTACGAGTTATTCTTACATCATAGGAATTTGTGAATTTCTCTAATTGGTGATGACGTGACATGCTTATTTTACATTTTAATTATTAATAGTTGAAATAATTAATTAAAATAAAAAATGTTATTGGAGTGAATTAGTAGAAATTACTCTTTAAAATAACTAGTGTAATAAAAAAATATATTTTGACTAGCTATTTTAGCTAGTATCCTTAGTTGCTCTAATACCCTTTAAATTATTGGAAGCGAGTAAAAATAAGGTGAAATAGTTAGTTAAAATAAACGTTGTTAAAAATAATTTTTTAAAATAATTTTTAAAAATAAAGAATATAATATTTAAATATAGTTTGAATAACTAAAATAGAGAGTTGGGTTGATCAACTCTTTCATGAAAGGTCGATTATTAATTTTTGGATGTTGATTTATTTATTTGTTTTGATAATAAATATTGACGTAGGGTTATTGGCGGATTACTATTGGTGCCTCGTTTTTGGCCTATATTTTTCTCCGTATAGGCAAACCACCGCCCCCTGGCGCTCACCCTTGCTGGGCACGAAGGGCTTTACTCCAAGACTTCTCTCTCTCTCTCACACACACAGCGGTGGTGGAGTTTGAAAGATTCGGACCGAACTCAACCAGCGATCACAGTTTCTATCAAATTGTTACAAATCAAAATCAAGATTCAAAGATTAAATGGGGAAACAGAAAGGAGAAGCAGCAAGAAGCAAGGCTCGTCCCTCCAGCAGCAGGTTATCTCTGTTTCTGTCTCTGTCTCTCTCTCTCTCTATATATATATACACACACACACACACACACATACATACTGATTTTCGCCGTTGCCTTTTGGTCAACTTTATATCTGAACCGCTAAATTGGATTGTTTGGCAGTCTTGCTGCTTCGCTGTTGCCGTCAGGTACAGCAGGTGTTGGATTCGGAGGCTATGTTGGCAGTTCACGAATTGATTCTTCTCTCCCAAACGAAGACACCGTTACTTTTTTGGTAATCTTTTTAAATATTTTCTATTGGATGGAGAAAGTTATAATGTTTGGTTCTGCAATGTACATGCTTATAGAAAACTGATATTGTAAAGACTTTGCAATTTGTGGCATGGTGAATCAGTGTGAAGGCCTTTGGTTGGATTTTCAATCAAATTGAAGTTAATCTTTATGAGAGTCTTATTTCATTTAAACACTTTTACATTCAGTGAAACTAGGGTGGGGTGCTAAATATGTTTTGTCCTGAAGATGAGTCAAGGTTCTCTTTCGTCATTAAGTGCAATGGGGAGGCTGAATCATAATGTATATGTGAAGGTTAATCTGAATATGTTTTTCTCTGTTTTGACTATGCAGGATATAGATGGTGAAGTTGCACAACACTTGAAGAGGCTTTCAAGGAAGGATCCCACCACCAAGGTAATGTTTTAATAACGACTGTAGAAAACTCTTCTACTTTTCACTCTTTGTTTACTTTTGTCTTTGATTATACAGAGCTTTGGTCATTTGGTGGGACTGTAAATGGGTTAGTTTGTATGCAGGTGCTGAACATTGCATCCAATTTCGCTTGTAACATTTTGATCTTAAATACTAGTATGGGGGATTGTTATGGACTCTGGTGCTATGTATAATATAATTTAATCTAAAGTTGACATCCAGGCCACTGGTTCAATATTTAAAATTCGGCCTAATAACTTTGGGGCTTGTTTGGATGGATTTTTGGGAAGGGTTTGGATTGGCTTTCCTAAACCATTCCAAATCTAAACCCCTCTTTACAAAACTTCTCTTTACAAAGGCGAGATTCAACATTAAAGTCAATCTATACCCATGTTTGGTATGCAACACATATACATATAGGACTCACGGATATATCATAATTATTAACAACTATTTATCTTGTAAATGACTATTTTGCCCCTTAATCAATCCAATTCATACCCATTTTAAGGGGTACAATTGTCTTTTGCATCCTTAACCTCTTAACTCATCTTTCCAAACCCACCCTCCCTAGATTTGATGAAACTCATGATCATGAGTTTAATATCCGGGCCAGCTACGGACCGGGTTTGAGAATGCGGGATTGAATTTTTAATCTAAACATGAGGTTTAAAAGTCCTTTGGACTATTTTTCCCAAACCCTGGACACCAATGCCCCCCAAACTCACACAACAAACAGGCCCTTGAGGTGTTGAGCTAGAACTTGAGACAACTATTTTGTGAAAAATAATGCCAAAGAGTAGGTGTGCACTCAATCTAGAACTCCCATACTCCATTAATAATGTATGTTTTAGTAACTCTTTATGGGAGAATGTAATAAATATATTGTTAAAAAGGATTATGAAGTGAAGGTGGCTACGGGCATTTGACATTCTGGACAGTTGCCTCTTTAGAGGGGAAATGTTTGTAGAGAAAAGTTGTCTAATACATTGTCTCAAGCTCGAAGGTTGCCTACACGAAAGAGAGGCGACTCAAGGAAAAAAGGAAAGAGGGGGTGGGGTTGCTCTCTCTTGAAAAATTGTTCTTGATGTGCTTTGTCCCATAGTTCTAGCCTTGAGTAGAGTTCAACAAGTTTATTTTAGGCCTTGAGCCAAAAGAAAGCTTCAAGGCTACTATACTAAGTCCCCTTTTTATAGTGCTGTTGGGCTCTCACTCTTGACCTGTGGAGCCAACAGGTTGGATGGGCCTTCCACAATGTCTGGCACCTTGTGACAGCCAGGATGTTGCTCCCAACCCTACCTCTTCCCCAAGATTTGGTAATTTCCATTTATCTTTTTTTTTTTTGGGCATCAAGACCTTCCTTGAACAATGCCCTCTACCTTACTCAATATGTTGGCAATCCTTATTTGCTGAGGTTGAATAACTTAAAGAAGTTAACAGTGCAAAGTAGATTTAATAATGACTAATTGCTTACGTTACGTGGATTAGATTAAAAATCAAATTGACCTTGTGATGGTAGTGAGAAAGTGTCAAATGAACTGTATAGTTTGCTTCAATATGTTTCATTTAGGACTTACTAAATACTAACTACTACTATAATAGTAGCACACAGTAACACTGCATTCTCTGGCCATCTTGCGGTAAAATTCTAGCTTTGCCCTTGTCTCCTCTTTTGGCTAGTGGTATCCTTGGGAGAGTGAATGCTTCATTTGCCATTAAGTAGGTTAAGGTCGAGGATCAAAATCTCGTTTCATTATGGACGAAGCTACAAAAATGTTTAGGTCTCGGTGAAAATCGAAACAAACTTGTGATTGGAAATCAAAATGCTTCAAGAATCTCTCTAAATGTTTCAAGATGTTTCGGTATGCTTCATAATTGAAATTTTGTGTTTTTTTTTTCTATTTCCATCATGTTTTTCTAATGCTTTGGAAATATTCCCTCACATTTTCTTTTTAATAAAAAAATATGCACTTAAACGAAATTTTATTTGTTGGTTAAGGTAAGCATCTTCCCATGTGATCCTTGGTGATGTAAATGCTTTTGATGTACCCAAAGCCTGGTCTTACTGTCTTGCAGTAGTGTTTTCCTAGATCAAAATTCTGGTGTCATCATGAGACCTTGATGTGTATATTCAATGGTTGAGGATTGGGACCCTGGTGGTTTTGTTCTCTTCATAACATTTGTTTCAGGCTGTTGAATTAGTTTGTCAAGATTTAGTTTTTTGGTCGGTACAAAAATTATTTCAGGAATGTAAAAAAGTATGTTTTTGTTGTCACTTGATGTTATGACACATGATTCTATTGATTCAATATTACCTTTGCAAAGGTTTCATAAGTTGAGGCAATGATGCGTGGAGACACAAATGTGCTATATAGTATAACTTGTAAATCTTTTGAAACGTGTAATAAATATGTTGTACTATGATCGTCTGTTGAAGATATGAATTGATGGATTATTTAATGCAATAGTCAAAATTCGGTTTAACAAATGTGAGGCCATTATGACAAAAATGGCAAAGTTTCAGTTTTTTTTATCAAGTTTACCCCTCCCAGCATCCCACATTGGGAGATCAACACTGGGTAATGTTCTTGTGAGTTGATGGGCCCTATTTATCACTTTTACCTTTTGATTAAGGATTAATTACTTTTATTCATGCCTATAAACTTTTCCTCACATTTTTTAATTTTTGCACTTTTGGTTGCTTGAATGTTGGCTTGACATTTGGACTTTGGACCTCTTTAGTTTCTTTTAATGCTTTTGACTTGCTTCCGTTGTATATCCATCTCCATAAATATTAAGTTGTCGGAACTTTGTCGGCCCATCCTCAAGATGTATAAATTGCATGTATTTGCCTTCCATATACCTTGAAAAAGCTCATTTACTTTTGCTTCTTCTACAGCTTAAAGCTTTGAGCTCTTTGTCTCAACTGCTCAAGCAAAAATCTGCAAAGGAAATAGCACCAATCATTCCACAATGGGTACGCCTAATTCCACTTAAATTAAATGTTCTTTAATAAATATATGTTATATTTTGGGTTCTTGCTGTTGCTTATGTGTCAAAATCTTATGTGGGATGCTCATCAAACATGATCAGTGTGCAAGTTTTACTTGTCATAGGGGCCATGATTAGAATGCTGAGGTCAGAAGTAGAGGTAGAGCATGGAGAGATTGGTGAATAGTCATAGAAGCAATTGTTTATAGGTGAGGATAAAAAATAGTTTCAAGATTTTGGATGCAATAATTAGTGATTTTCTAAAATATATTAGTTGATGGATCTTTTATCTTATGCAACTTAAGATGCCACATGTTCATTTTTGAGACTTCAAAATTCTGTAGTTCAGAGATTGCCAAAGAGTTGGAAGCTCTTGTGAAGTAGAATAGAGATATGATAATATACAAACTTACGATTGTCAGTGAATAATCAAAATAGGAGAACATTTTAATGAACATTTTTCTATGTCAGTTAAGTTTGTTGTCAGTCGAGGCTGTCTTATAAGTTTGTGGTCAGGTGCATTATCTTATTCTTAGGTTATTAAGCTGCTGAATTTATTTAATTTCTGTTTTATTGAGTTCTAATATTAGGATTTTAGGGCTATTCTGGTTTTTTTGGATAATTGCAGGACATGGTTTGTATCCATCTGTATATATTTACCTCTTGGCTCTTGTTTAGCGTCCTAGGTGTTTGACTTCTTCAGGGGATTGTGCCTTTGATTCTGTTGGGTGGAGGCATAATGCAAGCCCATCCCACAACACACATTTTCTGATTGAAATGAATTTTTTTCTCTTCCCGGGAATTCCAGCGGACATGATAGTGGTTCAGCAAATGGATTGTTCATGTAATCTATATGATTGTTATTAGTATATTGCTTTAGGAATAGTTGATATTCTGTTTGTATGTTTTTTGACCTTGGCCTCAGTGAGGTGTTGTTCTTCTACTTCTCTGCTGCTCATTCTTATATGCATATTGTGTGCACATTTACCTGTGAATGAAACTGTGATCTCCTTCCATCACCTTGGCGCTACTTCTTTGAAGCCTGTTTTTTCCCCTCATAAAACCCTAAATCCTAGCAGCCCAAAAGATCCTAACCAACGATACTATTCTTGGTTGCAATTCAGAATCGCTGAACACTCTTGTAAGAGTCCTCTTTCTAGTGAAATTCAATATCCAAAACCCTAACCCTTCTTGCACCTTATTAAACCTAAAAATCCATTTTTCCCACCTTATGAAAGCCTTTTTTTTCTAATGTCTTACATTAAGTTTAGCACCAAACTCAACTTCTGCAGGAGAGTGTCTCCCACAGTTGTCCTACATCTTGGTGGTTATGAATTATTTCTATTGGTCCTGCATTCTGATACATAATTCTCTTGGCGACTTTTTATTGTAGGCATTTTGGATTTCTGTTGTTACAACATGATTTTGTTTGCATTCNAAGCTTCAAGGCTACTATACTAAGTCCCCTTTTTATAGTGCTGTTGGGCTCTCACTCCTGAGCTGTGGAACCAACAGGTTGGATGGGCCTTCCACAATGTCTGGCACCTTGTGACAGCCAGGATGTTGCTCCCAACCCTACCTCTTCCCCAAGATTTGGTAATTTCCATTTATCTTTTTTTTTTTTGGGCATCAAGACCTTCCTTGAACAATGCCCTCTACCTTACTCAATATGTTGGCAATCCTTATTTGCTGAGGTTGAATAACTTAAAGAAGTTAACAGTGCAAAGTAGATTTAATAATGACTAATTGCTTACGTTACGTGGATTAGATTAAAAATCAAATTGACCTTGTGATGGTAGTGAGAAAGTGTCAAATGAACTGTATAGTTTGCTTCAATATGTTTCATTTAGGACTTACTAAATACTAACTACTACTATAATAGTAGCACACAGTAACACTGCATTCTCTGGCCATCTTGCGGTAAAATTCTAGCTTTGCCCTTGTCTCCTCTTTTGGCTAGTGGTATCCTTGGGAGAGTGAATGCTTCATTTGCCATTAAGTAGGTTAAGGTCGAGGATCAAAATCTCGTTTCATTATGGACGAAGCTACAAAAATGTTTAGGTCTCGGTGAAAATCGAAACAAACTTGTGATTGGAAATCAAAATGCTTCAAGAATCTCTCTAAATGTTTCAAGATGTTTCGGTATGCTTCATAATTGAAATTTTGTGTTTTTTTTTTCTCTATTTCCATCATGTTTTTCTCATGCTTTGGAAATATTCCCTCACATTTTCTTTTTAATAAAAAAATATGCACTTAAACGAAATTTTATTTGTTGGTTAAGGTAAGCATCTTCCCATGTGATCCTTGGTGATGTAAATGCTTTTGATGTACCCAAAGCCTGGTCTTACTGTCTTGCAGTAGTGTTTTCCTAGATCAAAATTCTGGTGTCATCATGAGACCTTGATGTGTATATTCAATGGTTGAGGATTGGGACCCTGGTGGTTTTGTTCTCTTCATAACATTTGTTTCAGGCTGTTGAATTAGTTTGTCAAGATTTAGTTTTTTGGTCGGTACAAAAATTATTTCAGGAATGTAAAAAAGTATGTTTTTGTTGTCACTTGATGTTATGACACATGATTCTATTGATTCAATATTACCTTTGCAAAGGTTTCATAAGTTGAGGCAATGATGCGTGGAGACACAAATGTGCTATATAGTATAACTTGTAAATCTTTTGAAACGTGTAATAAATATGTTGTACTATGATCGTCTGTTGAAGATATGAATTGATGGATTATTTAATGCAATAGTCAAAATTCGGTTTAACAAATGTGAGGCCATTATGACAAAAATGGCAAAGTTTCAGTTTTTTTTATCAAGTTTACCCCTCCCAGCATCCCACATTGGGAGATCAACACTGGGTAATGTTCTTGTGAGTTGATGGGCCCTATTTATCACTTTTACCTTTTGATTAAGGATTAATTACTTTTATTCATGCCTATAAACTTTTCCTCACATTTTTTAATTTTTGCACTTTTGGTTGCTTGAATGTTGGCTTGACATTTGGACTTTGGACCTCTTTAGTTTCTTTTAATGCTTTTGACTTGCTTCCGTTGTATATCCATCTCCATAAATATTAAGTTGTCGGAACTTTGTCGGCCCATCCTCAAGATGTATAAATTGCATGTATTTGCCTTCCATATACCTTGAAAAAGCTCATTTACTTTTGCTTCTTCTACAGCTTAAAGCTTTGAGCTCTTTGTCTCAACTGCTCAAGCAAAAATCTGCAAAGGAAATAGCACCAATCATTCCACAATGGGTACGCCTAATTCCACTTAAATTAAATGTTCTTTAATAAATATATGTTATATTTTGGGTTCTTGCTGTTGCTTATGTGTCAAAATCTTATGTGGGATGCTCATCAAACATGATCAGTGTGCAAGTTTTACTTGTCATAGGGGCCATGATTAGAATGCTGAGGTCAGAAGTAGAGGTAGAGCATGGAGAGATTGGTGAATAGTCATAGAAGCAATTGTTTATAGGTGAGGATAAAAAATAGTTTCAAGATTTTGGATGCAATAATTAGTGATTTTCTAAAATATATTAGTTGATGGATCTTTTATCTTATGCAACTTAAGATGCCACATGTTCATTTTTGAGACTTCAAAATTCTGTAGTTCAGAGATTGCCAAAGAGTTGGAAGCTCTTGTGAAGTAGAATAGAGATATGATAATATACAAACTTACGATTGTCAGTGAATAATCAAAATAGGAGAACATTTTAATGAACATTTTTCTATGTCAGTTAAGTTTGTTGTCAGTCGAGGCTGTCTTATAAGTTTGTGGTCAGGTGCATTATCTTATTCTTAGGTTATTAAGCTGCTGAATTTATTTAATTTCTGTTTTATTGAGTTCTAATATTAGGATTTTAGGGCTATTCTGGTTTTTTTGGATAATTGCAGGACATGGTTTGTATCCATCTGTATATATTTACCTCTTGGCTCTTGTTTAGCGTCCTAGGTGTTTGACTTCTTCAGGGGATTGTGCCTTTGATTCTGTTGGGTGGAGGCATAATGCAAGCCCATCCCACAACACACATTTTCTGATTGAAATGAATTTTTTTCTCTTCCCGGGAATTCCAGCGGACATGATAGTGGTTCAGCAAATGGATTGTTCATGTAATCTATATGATTGTTATTAGTATATTGCTTTAGGAATAGTTGATATTCTGTTTGTATGTTTTTTGACCTTGGCCTCAGTGAGGTGTTGTTCTTCTACTTCTCTGCTGCTCATTCTTATATGCATATTGTGTGCACATTTACCTGTGAATGAAACTGTGATCTCCTTCCATCACCTTGGCGCTACTTCTTTGAAGCCTGTTTTTTCCCCTCATAAAACCCTAAATCCTAGCAGCCCAAAAGATCCTAACCAACGATACTATTCTTGGTTGCAATTCAGAATCGCTGAACACTCTTGTAAGAGTCCTCTTTCTAGTGAAATTCAATATCCAAAACCCTAACCCTTCTTGCACCTTATTAAACCTAAAAATCCATTTTTCCCACCTTATGAAAGCCTTTTTTTTCTAATGTCTTACATTAAGTTTAGCACCAAACTCAACTTCTGCAGGAGAGTGTCTCCCACAGTTGTCCTACATCTTGGTGGTTATGAATTATTTCTATTGGTCCTGCATTCTGATACATAATTCTCTTGGCGACTTTTTATTGTAGGCATTTTGGATTTCTGTTGTTACAACATGATTTTGTTTGCATTTACATTGTGTGTGTGTGTTAGGTTGGGGGAGGGAGGAAGTTGGGTTAGTGATGAGGAGAATAGTTGGAGAACAGTGAGAAATCATGGTGAGTGAAGATGCCAGCTAGCTGGGCTGAGACCGTTGGTAGACAGTTAGAGCGACTTGGGATCAGCTGCTTTTTGTTCTGACGATCATAGGTGGAGAGAATGATATGATGTTGTCTGGCTCAGCCTTTGACAAAAAGGAAAGGTTATGGTGATTCATTTTATGAGTATAAAACATTAATTATTCAATTTAGCATTTACTTAGTTGTGTCAACAGGTTTCCTTGGCATCACCAGGAAAACTGTGTGGTGGTCTTAAATAACATTGTATGAATGAGCTAGGTTGTATTGGTGGTGGTGGAAATGAGGATTTGGTGCGAGGAAACTGTGTCTGGGACACTGAAGTTGGAAGGAGGAACTCCAAAATCAGTATAACTTGGAAGTTGTCCTTGATATCATGCAACTTTACCTTCTATTGTCTTATTAGGATCATGTGTGACTTGTATGTGTTGGTAGATCATTATTGCGAGTTATTTAATAGAGTTGCTTCTTGTGAATCCTTTACTCGAATAGGACACTGATACTTCAAAAGGAGAAAAAAGGTGGAATACCCTATTTTTTTCTGAAAATTCACATGATTTCATTTTGACTAGTGGATTAAATAAGTTGGACAGAGTTGTACTGGATTAGGTCTCTGCTAACTTCCATCTGTTTTCAAATGTGGGATTCTTGACGTCTGTTCTTCTTTACTTTGTGATCAATGGTTACACTTAATAGCAGTGTGCTAAAACTGAATTATATAGATGAGGGGCCCCGAACTGGGAAATCAAATAAAGCTTGGTGGGCCTTGAATTGGGAACCTTTCTGTTTGTGCCATTTGGCAAGAAGTCATTCTGTAGTTAGTGGAACAAAAATGATGCACACCGGTATATCAAGTATTATTGACTGAGGATAGAAATCATCACTTTAAAACGGTTCTCTAACATTTATTATTTTTCTACACATATTGACAACTGGTTTTTAACTTGTCAGGCTGTAAATTGTTTTAGAAATTAGCTTCTTTGTTTTGGACAAGAGTAGCAAGCATCATTGTTTGCATATGGCTATACTGTAATCACTGAAGCNTTTCTACACATATTGACAACTGGTTTTTAACTTGTCAGGCTGTAAATTGTTTTAGAATTTAGCTTCTTTGTTTTGGACAAGAGTAGCAAGCATCATTGTTTGCATATGGCTATACTGTAATCACTGAAGCAATGGATTATTTCCTATGCTAGCTAAGATTTTCTGCTTTTTGATGTTTTACAATGTCAGTGATTGGTGACTTAGAGTACCCTGCTTTTTTCTGGTTTAGGCATTTGAATACAAGAAGCTGTTGCTGGATTACAACCGAGAGGTTCGAAGAACTACACATGACACCATGACTGATCTTGTCAGCGTTGTTCGGTTTGTGCTTATTAGTACTATAACAATGCATCCTTATTCCTGTTGCCCCGATGTACATGACAAACTGGTCATATAGTGGTTGGGAAGGATAACTCCTCTCTCTGTATGCCTTGATTAATATCTGGCTTAACTTCATGCAGATATGTCACGGTGGTTTGCTTGTGTGCATGTTTTGTTGAATATCTGGGTCCTTATCCTGTGAGTGAATAATGTGCTTCATAATAAAATTAGGTTTTGTGGATGCCATTTGTGATGGCATCTCTACACTGCTCGTAAAACAATAGCTGACTTCTTTCACTTGCATATGAAGACACATTTGTTTTAGCTGATTAACTTCTACACTATTTCATCATACTTGGTAAATAACAAATATTATTTTTAGGCAAATGTGCCTTTCTCATTATTTAATTTTCTTTGGGAATGCATCTTTCTTATTATTTTTATTTCAGGAGAAGTTGCCTGTCTGGTAGTCTGTGAAACATGGATACTCTGTGTAGGTCAATGTATCCATATTGGATACCTTGTGAGATATGATATTTGTCGGATAGTCGAGAATAAGCATCAAATACACATTTGACATATCCAAAAATTAATAATTTATCCATTTATTTTGGATACATATTGGATACTTATTACACGGACACGATACTCGGGTATGGGTATAGGGTATTTAAGATGAATATACTACGGATATAGAAGTCAATACGCATAACAATTTGTGTAAATTTTAAATTTTACCTTTTCCTCTGAAATTCAAATACCATGATGCAAAAAGAAAAATCTAGATGGCTTTGAAAATATGTTCGTATTTTTTAAGCATTATCTACTATCACATATCGAAATGACATAAAATACTTTAAATATTTGTTTTGATTTCTTAAATTAGACTTGTTCACTTTGTGGTTATATTATGATGAGACGATCTATGCTCACGTGAAAGTAAAAATTTCTTATATTACATCATAGTAAAAATATAAAATATATTTTATTGTAGGTGTATCTCGGCCATATCTGTATCCAATTTTTTTAAATTTTGCGGTATCTCCATGTCTTTATTGTATCGCATTCATATTTTGTATCCATATCCATGCTTTCTAGTTTGTAATGTTTATATTTTAGAATCTTTTATTTGAGTACTTGTTGCTTTATTTGCTTGTAGATGTTCAACGTGTTTACTCCCAAATTTTTTTATAGGGAGCAAAATATAAATTTGTAAAGCATCAATCTTCTGTTGGACCCGGGCTTAAGGGCCAGATTTTCTCTGGCTTCTGAGTTCAATTACTGTCAAGTTTCTTAAATTTATTTTAGCAACTTGTGAGTAGATTTAGTTGTCAATTACTCAAATAAAGCATAGTTAACCTCCTCTTTCCTTTCTCTTCTCTTGGCTTCATGATTAAATAATCTTTTTCCCAATAGCATAAAATGATTTAAATATCAATATCTTTGCTTTAATTCCTTGCATAATATAAGCATGCAAAGCACACATGGAAAACTTTGATGTGAGCCCTGCTGCAGGGAGATGATTTCGTAGATTGGGGTCTCTTGTCTCTGTGTATTGATTAAGATCATCATTGTCAAGTTTAATTAATGTTTACATTTCTTCTAGTAACCTTATGAACATGAATGGGTACATAATGGAATTGCTTGAGCTACTTTTGCTTTGTTAGATTTATAAGATTTTCACAATCTTCCATGGTAATTATATGCAGCGTGCAGATTCACCCTGTTTAGATTGGAAATTCACTGCATATTTGCCTACGTTTTTCTTCATTTTCTTTCCCTGTTTTTCCACAGAAGAGACTTAGCACCACATTTGAAGTCTTTGATGGGACCGTGGTGGTTTTCTCAGTTTGATTCAGTTTATGAAGTTTCCCAAGCTGCAAAACGATCATTTCAGGTATGAAAAATATATTTTCTCTTCAGCTATAAAAAGATGCTTGAGTTTTTGGCACTCGGGGGTAGCATGTTGTCTTTATGCAACAGAAAGGGCCTTCCCTGGGCAAGACTGCAATGACCTATTGGATTGAACAACTAATAAGTAGTAGGGACCAGACTGAAGTAAAGGATATAGGGAATTTTACTTATTGACTCTTAGGCAATATGGCCGTATTAGTTGTTGTGAATTTTGTTGACGAATTATCTATCTTCTTGGTTTCGTTATCAGTAGGGATATCCCTAGATCTTGTGGAAGTTATGCTTCATGTGGTTAGATGGAATAGCAGCGGAAAAAGGCAAAAACCAATAGAAATCAGGAAATGATAGCCTTTATTACTAGCCCAAAATCAACCAAAAACCAAGAAGCATGATAAACACTCCAGCTGGTCTATGACCTCTATTGAGCCACAAAAATATACATAGTTTTGTGCATATATTCGCATATTCTTTTTTGCTTGTATTCTTAGAGCCAGTGGTGATCTCACTTTCGAAAGAGTCTCTTGACGTGGCGCTATACACCTAGCTCCATAGCGGAGCTAGTCACTGGCTACAGGGTGACTGACCCACTAGATTGGAGGCGTTGGGAATTTGATGTAAATAGGACCAACGACAATGAAAGAGGAAGAGTAGGAGCTAATTTCGAATGATTATGAGATAGATTTGGCTCTATGTGAATGAGACAAAGCCAAGAGGGGAAAACACTTAGACAATTCTCTTTGAGTACGGAAAGTTTGCCGGTTGGAATTCCTCAAGACGTATTACGGTTTTTCACCGAGGGGGTGGATTGAAGCGATTGCAGCGAAGAATTGATTTGAAATGAAGCACTTTCTCTATGGGCATTGTAGAAAGGATAGAATATGACCCTAATCGTTCTTTTTGAATCGCTCTAGTACAATGGATCGAGGGGTTGCAGTTAGGCCGCCAGAGGAAATGCAATAGAAGAGTTCGTTCCGCCGTGTAAGATCCTCGAACCTATCACANAGAAAGGATAGAATATGACCCTAATCGTTCTTTTTGAATCGCTCTAGTACAATGGATTGAGGGGTTGCAGTTAGGCCGCCAGAGGAAATGCAATAGAAGAGTTCGCTCCGCTGTGTAAGATCCTCGAACCTATCACGNATAGAATATGACCCTAATCGTTCTTTTTGAATCGCTCTAGTACAATGGATCGAGGGGTTGCAGTTAGGCCGCCAGAGGAAATGCAATAGAAGAGTTCGTTCCGCCGTGTAAGATCCTCGAACCTATCACAACCACCATCCGCGGTCCATTTTTGTTCTCTTCCCTGCCCAGAAAGGTGGATCAAAGAAAGATAGCGTAACCTTGTCTACCCTACCCCTCTTCTGGTTGTACCATTACCAATCGCGGGTAACCCTTGGTCCGGCCGCCTCCTGACATAAGAAGAATGATTATCCTTATGACCAAACAAGGACTAGCTTACTTCTTTCTTGAGCGATAGTTCCACGATCCTGGCCAGCAACTTGTTGGGAGTAGGGGCATCAAAGCTTGTCCAACATAGTAACGGGGCTTGGAAATAGAGGGTTTTTTTTGAGGGAGATCAAGTTTTCAGGTTGGATTGTTTAGATCAAATAGGACCNAGGGGCATCAAAGCTTGTCCAACATAGTAACGGGGCTTGGAAATAGAGGGTTTTTTTGAGGGAGATCAAGTTTTCAGGTTGGATTGTTTAGATCAAATAGGACTAGTTGGTTAGATAGTGGTGGTGAAATCTAACCTTTGCCCATTCCCTTCTATTGTGCCTATCTATTATGAAGTAGGGCCCTCGAACCCCACTTATTCCGACACCCTGGTACTAGAGTAGGTAAGCTTGTTAACTTCGATTAGGTATCTTTCAAAAGGCAAGTCAAAGGCCCCGGTAACTCCGATGCCATTCAATGAGGTAGCCCCGAAAAGCCAGATTGTCTTTCTGAACCATACTAGTTTGCTCTTCGAGTTGCTAGTAGGAATGTTCGTAGAGTCCCTATTAGTTATGTTTATTATTTGAGCATATGAATTGTGTTTTTCTTTTAGGATCAACTAGTCATTTTCAATATATGTAAGTTATGTCCAACTTCCGAAGATTAATTGAAATTTTTTTGCAGACACCGACTCCTTAAAATGTTGAAAATATTTTCCTCAAAATTTATTATGCCAAAAACCAATGGAGCACAAATGTTTTCAAACTAATGGTGAATCACGTTGTGCATGTATCTTTCATAAGAATGAATAATGAAGCGAAACAAACTCCTTGCATACCATGTCTGGATAACTAAGTAGAATTGCACCGCAAACCTATTGCATTTACCTGGAAGCTGTGTCAGTTGTTGGCAATCAATTTGTCGGCATCAAGCTCCCAAATTAATCAATTTTTTGCGACTCTAGTGACTTGCAGAAATCCTACTTCTTGTTCAAGGCCAAGGATTAATCCTAAGAAACTCAAAAATATAAAAAGCAAACAACTTGCAGCCAACGCAAGGAATTTAATTAGTCCATGAACAGTCACATCTGTGGACGAATCAATTAACAAATTCAAAAAAATCTTGGAGAATTTATGAGGACATTAACATTTAAACCGACCTTTCATATTTGTGCATGAGTAGTGAGTGTTGGTCAAAGGAGACATTGTTTAACTTTGCAAAAGCCACCTATTATTCAGTTTTTATGGGTAATCTGGTTTTCACGTAGTTTTGGAGTGCACTAATGACAAGAGGGGGAGCGCTTCCAAATATTTTACATGTCCTGCAATTTCATGGAATTTTCCATATTCATTTTTTCAAATGTCGTATCTGTTGAACTGTAGTTACTTGCGAAAATGGATTGCTCATTGTGGCCATTCCTAAAAGTTGCACACTGTTCCTTCTTGTTAGATCATTTCTAAACAAGAAAACTAGTTGATAACTACCTTTTGATTATGGAATATGGATCTATGTATATAGTTCTCCAATTTGGTTTGATTCATTATTAGGTTATGTGAAAATTAACCGAGTTGGTTTGAAAACAGTATTGTTTTTTGCTTTATCATATGCAGTCTTATATCTCTTCATAAGTTTATGAGTTTACTACACAAGCGGAACATAAACACCGTTATCCATATTGTTTCTTGGCTTAGGCTTCCCGAACGGCCTCTAGTAAAATTGTGCAGAACGTAATGCTTTATACACTAGTAATGTAAAGCTTATAAAAACAAATTCTTGGCCTTAAGTTGTGCTTCTGGGCCATGGTTGGCTCCAACCAACTTCTGGCCCTTAAACACAGGAAGTGCTGTCCCTTTGAAAGACTGCCTATTTCTCTCTCATCAACATACCTTTCTAGATGCATATGAAATCTTCCAGAGACTTCAGCATCACCCACTCTGTCCAAAACAAGGCAAACAATGACCACCACAACCATTCATATGCCATGTCACAGTGATTATGGCTAATTTAGTTCTACAATAGTTTAACATTCTCTTCCTTTGATTTCTGATTAATTTGTATTCTACAAAATTGTTGTATTCCTGTGTGGGATGTTGTATTGGCGTCATTTCAGCATATTGATATTTTTTTAGTTTTCCCTGTCATTTGTACATGTTGAAGAGTGTTGTGTGTTTTGTTAACATGCATGAGCAGTAATGCTAGTAATTTTTGAGATTTGTTTTTCTCAAGTTTGTTAACATCCTGTGTATCCTGATTGTTCATCATTTTTCATTTTATTAACAAGTAATTTCCCCTGTTGCCGGGCTATGCTTCATTGGATTTGTGGAACAACTGAATAGGCAAAGGTTGTGTTCAGTGTGGTCTATGTTGTTGTTCAATTGTGAACAGGTAGCCTTTCCAGCACCGGATAAGAGACTTGAGGCCTTAATTTTATGTGTCAATGAGATTTTCATGTATTTGGACGAAAACTTAAAGCTCACGCCGCAGAGCATGTTAGATAAAGCGGCTGCGTTGGATGAATTAGAAGAGATGCATCGGCAGGTATTCATTCATGGTGTACTTTATATTCAGGATCAATATTCATATAGTTCTATCATCATTCTTCACTATCTTTGTTTGTTATTATGTAGCTTACACAGAAACCTTTTATAAGTTGCAGTTGAATTGTGTCTCTCTGCACTTGCATTGTAGGCGCCTTATAACTTAACATGTTGCATTCATGAAGACAGTGTTCGTAATATTTTGGTTTGTTGTGAATAAAGATCTAGTAATTGAAAACAAATGTTCATTTTTTAGGGTTGTGGGGTGGTGAGTAGAAGGGAATCTGAGGGAAGGGTTTTGACACTTCTGGGGCAGTGGGATCTCCTTGCTGCATAGTTTGAATCAGTTTCCATACAGAATGCTTGTAACCGAGAGACTAAGTTTTATATTCATAGGATACACATGACAAGGATAGCTTGTCGAAGTCTGTTGATAAGATCTGCACTGCAGCTGACAAGTTAGTTCCCAACTCTTTTTGTTATGGCCCCTGGGGGGAGAAATCGTAATCCTAGGATGTAGAGATGCTGATAAATTCTCTCTTTGTCCAAGCCAGCATGGCTTCTCTCTATGTAGGGGTCATTGGATGCATTGACGTGACATAAGAGTTCCCAAAATAATGTTCTTAATATTGACTAATTCGTCTAGGAATTTGAATTTTCGGGATAAAATGGTTTGGGATGTTGTGGTCTTCTTGAAGAGGGTCATTTGGACAAGAAGCTCATTAGATCAGCCTTTAAATTGTATCCCACAGTATACATGTATACATCCCTGATGGTGGTTCCAAGTGTCGTGAATTTTTAAGGAAACTTATATTTTGGTGAATCCATGGACATGCATTTTGATGGTCAAGAAAGATGTGTTTTTCTGAACATCATGTCAATATGATCTGAGATTTTTGCATCTTCTCTTGTCACTGTGAGTAGTCTAGTGACCGATAATTCCAGTTTTGAAGCTTGGTTTTGTCAATAGAAATCTCTTTGCTTGGTGTCCAAGATTTGATGAATGACACAAATGATTTTGTGTGGGGAGAAGCATTCATAGGAAGAGATGATGAGCAGGCAACTTGCCCACTTCTTGATGTGCCCCCTACCCACTCTCTAAACCAAAATAAAAAAGGTGAAAAGTGTCTTCTTGATGTTTCCAGTTAAAAGGGATAAAAATAACGGGGCAAACCTACCCAGTTTTTCGAAGTAAAACACTGATTTATGCAGCCTTGCCTTCCATTTGCAGTCAATTCATGGACTGCTTGGTTAAAATTACCATTTTTTTTGGCTTTAACAGACTTGCAATGTGGGATTCAGCTGATTAGCCACGAGTCGAAAATTCACAAATTTGTCTATTGGTTGGAATGGTTTTTTTTTTTTTGTTTTTTAAGTGTCATGCATCATTTCACTGAAATTCGGTTGGGCTTTCATAATTGCTTGTAAATTTGGAATAGTAGATCTAATATTTTTTTTTCATTACTATATCTTTTAAATAGCACACTGCAATGTTTCAGTAATGGTACAATCTGTCTTGTTGTGTGTGCGTGCGTCAATAATTCCTTTTCATGCACTTGTCTTACCATGGTCCTCATTCCTAAAGTTGTGTTTTTGGTTTCCTTGGTTGCAGGTGATTTCTTCATCACTACTGGCATTAGCCACCCTTCTTGATATTTTGGTGTCCCTGCAATCTGAAAGGCCAGGTTATGAAAACGTAACAGCTGAACCAAAACATGCTCCAAAAGCTAAGGCAGTGGCTATTTCTTATGCAGAAAAGTTGTTTTCCACCCATAAATATTTTCTGGATTTTCTGAAGTCTAAAAGCTCTGCTATCCGGTCAGCTGCATATTCGGTGCTTAGGAGCATTATTAAAAACATTCCTCATGCTTTTAAAGAAGGGAATATGAAAACTCTTGCCCCTGCAATACTTGGTGCTTTCCAAGAAAAGGATCCAACTTGCCATTCGTCAATGTGGGATACATTTTTACTATTTTCCAAAACATTTCCAGACAGTTGGACGATCTTGAATGTTCAGAAAACCCTGCTACACCGTTTCTGGCATTTTCTTAAGAATGGGTGCTTTGGATCCCAACAAGTTTCTTATCCAGCTCTGGTTCTATTCTTAGATGCTGTGCCCCCTAAAGCAATAGTAAGAGAGAAGTTCTTCCTTGAATTTTTCCAGAACCTGTGGGCAGGAAGAAACTCGTCCTATTCCTTAAATGCAGATCGACTAGCATTTTTCCTTGCTCTGAATGAGTGTTTCCTTTGGGTACTAAAAAATACTTCAAGGTGAGTTCATTGGGCTGTTCTTTTTCATTATTATGGCAGATTATATTCCATTGATTTTGTTGTGTGTAGTATATCTCCTGCATTCTTTAGGTATTTTTTTTATCCTTTTTTTTTTTTTCATGCTATAATGAATTTTCTCTGCTTTTGATTCTCGTTTTGATCCTCTTTGATGTCAGATATGGTGATGAAGTAGATTCCATGTATAATTTCCAACGTACTTTTATTGATGAGATTCTTATAAAGCGCTTGTGGAACGAGTACCTGCTGTTTGTGAGCTCAAAAAATCAGACCAGAGTCTTCCCTGGGTGTTCCCCGGATCTATCCGAGGGAAGCTCTCAACCTTTGCACAAGGAAACAATGGAAGCACTCGATCACAAGAATGCAATGGGTTACATGCAAGATTTGGGGAAATGCATTGTTGAAATACTTTCGGGCATTCATTCTGTGGAACATAATTTGCTCTTGGTTTTCTGTTCATCATTTCAAGAGAACTGCCTTGATATATTTCAGCGAATGGAGAGTACAGAAAAACTTAATGAGAATGTAGAACGGTTCATCAAATTTTTGTTTTTATTGGATCAACATGCGGTGCAAAAAGGTGAAACATGGCCCTTGGTTGATTTAGTGGGACCAGCGTTGGCGAAGTCTTTCCCATTGATTAAAACCCTTGTAAGTTACTTTTTTGAGTATTTAAAAAATTCTTCTCAGGGTTTACATTGTGGCAAATGCATTGCACTGTACTAATTGTTTTTTATTATTATGATTTCTTTAAACTGGTAGTTCCACTATTTATTTTGGAGCAATGAAAAGTAGTAGATCAATAGTCTTTATACCTGCAGCTGATGACCAAGCACTATGTAACGGTTCGATGAAGTAGTGTGCTTAGGTTTGCTAGTTGAGTTCTTTTTTTTTTTTTTTTGGTCTCTTAGATTCATTATTGTATTGGATCTTTTTGACATCAGGACTCACCAGATTCTGTGAGATTTATAGTGGCTGCAGTCTCCATATTTGGACCACGCAAGATAATTGGAGAATTCATTTGCAAGGAGTTCAAAATTGAGCATTTTATTGAAGGTTTTAAGGAAATATTTATCCCTTGGTGCTTGCAAAAGAATAGCTCCTCCAACGGCNTTGGATCTTTTTGACATCAGGACTCACCAGATTCTGTGAGATTTATAGTGGCTGCAGTCTCCATATTTGGACCACGCAAGATAATTGGAGAATTCATTTGCAAGGAGTTCAAAATTGAGCATTTTATTGAATGTTTTAAGGAAATATTTATCCCTTGGTGCTTGCAAAAGAATAGCTCCTCCAACGGTGCTCGAGTGGAACTCTTGCTTGCATTAATTTGTGATGAATCCTTTTCAGAACAGTGGGACAGTGTCATTGCACATGCAGTGAAGGTAGACGATGTTGTAGCTGGTGCTAGGACTCTGGAGCCCGACTGCATATCTGTGTTGGCAATGCTCATTGAGAAAGCAAGAGAGGAAATTCGAAAGAGGAAGGTAGACATGGATTTAGATCATCGGCAAGGATCCCATTCAGAGCACTGGCATCATGAGCTTCTAGATTCGGCTGCTGCTTCTGTTGCCCGTTCTTTTCCGCCATTTGAGATTTCTGATGCTAATTTTTTGCGGTAGGTAAAGGGATATGTTCATCATTTGTAACGTTGCATGCAGGAAACAACATCTTGATTCGTTGGACAGTATATTGTTAATTCAACTACTCCCCTCCCCCCCCCCCCCCCCCCC